AAGTATTAAAAGAGGTGAAAATCACTCCAAGTCTGGGCATGTTGAGAGCTGTACATACACACAAGGGGAGTTAGTCGGTTCCGTAAGAGCCAGCATGCGGGACTGGGATTCTGGGATTTGTAGTCTTTCTAGTTGCGTATTTTTCATAGTCTTATATTTCAACAGTTTTTAGACAAACTGTGACTTTTTTGACATGGAAATGATTTTTTAAGATTGACAAACATCATATGTGTAATTCGTGGCACAATTCAAACGGGATCGAAAGATAGGTTTTCTCTCTCCATTGACTTCAATACATAATTTTTCCGAAATAAGGTCCCATGGCCCGGAAGTAGATGGGCGGGACTTCGCCTCTCTATAGAGATGTTGGAATATTAGATCATAATATACACACCGTCAGGAGAGCAGTATTTAATCAAGCTTCACAGTCTTCACATTCACAGAGTTAAGGAAAAGAATGTAATGTTTTAAGGAAATCATAAAAATGACTTCTGTTTCTGACTTTTTTGCTTTTAAACACACAGTGGTGTGATTACAAGTCCTGAGTCCAAACACCATAAAAACCTTTGACCAGCTGCTATAATCATCCAGTCATATGTGTGCAGTCTCAGGTTGATTGAACAAAACAATCATTCAAAAGCTTGTGTGCATGCCCCCCCCCCTTATCTGATCTCCAGATAACCTCATGTGCAATGTACCTTTTCGAGGCTCGTTGTGTGGTTTTATGTGTTGTTGCATATTTTACAGCAGTAGGATCTTTGGGAAATTATGAGCACTGCAACAGGTCAATGACTTTGGTAATTTTTCCCTTTTTAATTATTTGTATTTCCCCTCTTTGGTCTGGATTTGTGACAAGCTTTTAGCCTTCACATGGCTGTTTTATGAATGTTTAAATGTGGCTTTATTACTTTTCACCTGCATTACCAAACACTGTTTATACGTCCACATTATAAACAGTACAGCTGTGGCTCGAGTTCAAACAGCGGTTTAATATCATGCTCCATTTTGACTGTAGACCAGGCGTCTTTGTTTACATTTGTATTTACTTACTCTGACTAATGAATGGCCATAATTCAGTCGCATCATTTTAGTTTGTATTTGATACAATTGAAAGCCCTTGGCTGATAAAACGTTGAGCACTACTGTAGTCTGTTGCATTAGAGTGGATTAACTGTTTTGTTTCACCTCCATCTCATCTAGTCTCCTCTAATCTTAATTCTCCCGATGGTTTCATTGAGGATGATTTAAAAACACTAGATGCGTCCTGTTGTAGTTTAGTGCTAGTGTCATGACTCGGGTAACTGTTAGTTGCACTTTGATGTGTTTTTAGATTCCTTTTGTAACATGATTCTGTTTGTGTTTCAGCAAGGGGCAAGCAACGCTGAGAAGTTTGATTATGTGAGTATGACTGAGGTTTTTGGGTTAAAATACGTGCATTTTGGTCATCATTGTTGAATAGGCGTGTGGCGCAGTGGATAGAGCGTTGGTGTTAGGATCAGGGGGACACGGGTTCAAACCCCACTGCAGTCAGCATGTCGTTGTGTCCCTGAGACACGTCACCCCAAATGGCTCCTGTGCGTCTAACAAGTGACATGTAAAAGTAACATGTGATAAAGGTTCTCTGCTGCTCCTCAGGTGATGAACTTCATGAACAAACTGGCAGGAAACGAGTACGTCGGCTTCAGCAACGCCACGTGAGTACAGCTACATATTACTACAGACACATACTTCACTCTATAGCTGCACGTGGTATTGATTTCTCACAAAGGAATCCTCAAGGACACTGCTGTATCACCGAGGAGAGGTTTATATAACAAGCTGAGTCACGCTGTGTGAAGAACAAAGCTCTCCCTTTGTGTGTGTGTCCCAGATTCCAGTCGGAGCGAGAGTCTGGAGACAGAAACTTTGCCATCGGCTACTACCTGAAGGAGAAGAAGGTGAGGTCACAGAAACCTCCCGCTGCAGCCCGACACACTGCACATGTAGCGCCCATTTTGAGTACCGTACATTTCGGACTATAAGGCGCACCTGAATATAAGCCGCAGCAGCTAAATTGAATGATGTGTACATATATAAGCCGCACTGGACTATAAACCGCAGGTGTTTTAATGTTTAATTACCATATGTAAGGGTTCGTGCACAGAGGGGATTGTCGGGAAAGAGATGGCTGTTTGAGGAAGCTCCCATTTATTAACATTTCAACAA